GATGGGGCAACATACTCGATATACGACACAGTGATCTCCTCGCCGATGTTGATGCGGCGGACGGCGTGGACGTGCTGGGTCAGGGTGTGGGGGTCGTAGTAGTAGTCGGCGTTGGGCCTGCAGTCGTGGTTCATGCGAGAGATCTCGGGGAAGATGGCGCAAAAGGCGTCGCCCTCGCTGTCGTGGTCGTCGATGTCGAACGCGTTGGTGGACATGAGGCGGCTGACCTTTGTCTGGTGCGTCATCTCCATCTCGACGTGGGTGGACAGGTTCATGACGGCGGCGCGGTGGCGCGGCGGTAGCCCGTCGACGGCGTCGGTCTGCAGCATGCGCACCTGGTCGACCGTCAGAGCGTCAAAGGCGCCGTAGTCGACCATGGTGGAGGCCGTGTTGCTCATGATGCGGTCCCCGCGCTCGATGGTCCTGAGCGCCACCAGGCCGATGCCCTTGCCGGGCACCTTGACCGCCTTGTAGGAATGTTCATAGTCTGGGTCCAGGTCCTTGTTCATATACCTGGTGAGTTCCGGGTTCGTAAAGGGCTCGATGTTGCTGAAGTACTCGGCCCGGTCCGGCCTCGTCACGACCGAGACTCCCCTGTCGCCGGCAAAGGTCTTGCTCGTGTAGACGCAGTACTTCCTCTTGTCGCTCTCGAAGCAAGGGCCAATGTCGGTCCATGGCGAGCTGGCGTTCTGGTTGGCAAACGGCGAAGCTGAGTGTTCCTTGCTCCCCGTGCATATGGGATCCGCCAGCTCTGGGAAGGTGTTCTGTGATAGGAGCGATGATGAGCGGCAGGAGTCGGCAGGTGTGATGTGGTTGTACACAGTGTCGTGGGCCAGTGCTGCGGCCGCGCACAGGCTGATGACGCTGGCGGTCCTCATGATGGCGTGGGGGTATATGAGAGTATGAGAGTATGAGAGTATGAGAGTATGAGAGTAGTAAGCCGGTTAGAAGTAGATGATAAGACTGGAAGTGGTGATCTACAGCACAATAAGGGAAGATATCATTATAGTGGACATGAGGCAAGAAGAAAAAAAGGAACGGGTGCCCGGGTCCGACGGCGAGGTTATATGTCATTCTGCCGGTGCAGCCATCTGGATCTTGCGGCAAGACCGCCTTCTCAGGGACACGCGTGTCTTGGGAATTCGTTCCGAGCTCCAGCAGGTGGCTGCGACGAGCCAAGGCTCAGGGGTGGGCAGGCGGCGCTGGAGCGGCGGCAGAATGCCCCGGCGGCGACTGGGATTGCACGGGGATGGAGGGTTGCGTACTTGCAGGGCACCGGGGGTGCAGGGGGAGGGAGGTGTGCGGATCAGTCTTGAACCGACCACTAGGTTGCACAGCCGCGGCGCGTACACAGCACCCCAAAGCACCACCAATAAGCAGCACTGCCTGGAGAGCGGTTGTCGTCAGCAGCCAACAGAGCCGCGCCACAGCCCGCGGTGATCTATTTCTGGGTGAGGGGAGCAAGGCCTTGCAAATATTGAATTGAGAGCGGGAGAGATGTAGGGGGAGCACGACACAAAAGAAGTCGAGTCAACAACTGCCACCTGCCCGTTGAATCAGACGGCACCACAACGTCAATCACAGGCCTCACGTTGAGTGATGATATAAGGGACCCTGTCTCTATCTACTATGTATAGTATATCTACTGTGTACAGCACCACATAGAAAGGTCCCTTACCCGTCGGTAGCCATCGCGGAAACATGCTAGTTCTTCTTTCCCAGCAAGCTCGTGGATCCGATTTGTTTCGTTCCTATCTCTGATGCCCCACCTGCAGAGGCAGGGGGCTGTCACAGGTTATCGTGTCTTTGCTGGTGCATTGGATGCGTAAACAGGTAAACAGTCCGAATCCAGCTCACCCAGAGGGTAGCACGCAGGGTGAAACGCGATAGGAAGGCCCTGAAAAGCTAGGTAGCACACTGGCTGATGCGTCAGGCCGAGTCAAGCGCCGTTGAATGGACGGACGGGTCGTTTTTCTTGGGGATGAAAGGCAGCGGGGAGCAAGAGCTTGTTCCTGGGAGCACCACTCTGTGAAACATCAGAGGAACCCAGTCTTGGCCCCCCCAAGCCCACGTCTAAAACGTTAGCGTCGGTCGTCGGTCCTTGGCGGGGCGCTCCCCACTTCCAATAGCGGGGGCCCGGGCGGAAGAAGATATAGATTAGCCAGAACAAATTGCCCCAGCTTCGCTTCAAATCGCTACCAGTTTCCAAACGCACGGGTCCTCTCCGACGCACGTCGGGGGGCGGGCGACGCCGCCGCCAGGAGACTGCAACTGTCGTTCGTCACGAAACGAGGTTTGTTCGCCTGTCTGACACCTGACTGTGCTGGTGTCAATAAACGCCAGACTGCGGCCAAGAAGACGGGCCGGCAGGCCAAGAGATGCCACGCCGCAATTGCAAAGTGGTAGACACCTTCTCGTAGGCACCTTCCAGGAACAAGGATTTAATAGCGGCAACCCAATCGCGTCAGATCACTACACCCAACCCAATCTGGAAGATCCAAGATACCCCCGGCTGTAACAGGGGCAGCCGCGTCAGCACGCGCTCGCATGCCGAACGGATCCCTATCTACCAGCTCATATCTGGGGGGAACACCGTGCCCCATCATTCCTCGCGTACCTCGGCGCCGTGGCCATCTCGTCAATCTCCCTCGAATGCTTGGTGGTGTCGCGGTGAGTATTCTGGCAATGCATTGTTGAGTCTACCTTCACAGTATTCCAGCCAGAGACTTCTTCTATCCCCCATTCTTTTGCGCCCGGAGCCAGCTGGTGAATGAATCCCGAGGGCACCCAGCCTAGAGCCCCATCTCCCAAAAAGCATCATGGTCCCGTCGTGGTCCCGTCGTGGCCGTTTTGTGTCGTGTTTGCTGTCCTCCTCTGAGCTGTCGCCGTGCCCTGTCTTGTTAGTCACTGTGAGGCATCCAACATGTCGGAATCACGGCCTCTGCTACTTCACTTTACGAACTCGTGCTATATAAACGGAATCATTTTTTTCCATAGTTGCCTAAAATGTCCTGTCCGTCTTTTTTTCCATTTTTTGCCATATAGCTACACCCCCTCCCTGAAGCCGTGATATCTGACCGACATCCCGCATGCCCGCTTCTTATCTCTGCGGCGAGAGATACCAACCCCAAAACTCAAGTCACCCCGAACCCGACGCCCGGGGTGTCGCTAGCCCGCCAGGGGCCGACGACCCTGCCATGCAGTCCTTCCCCCCGGACCCCATCGACCCGGAACATGTCCCCGCCCGGGTCTTCCTCTGCTACATCCACCTCGGCGTAAAGGTGCGCGGCTTCGAGGCCGTCGAGGCCCGCGTCGGCGACGCCATGCGGCCGCGCGCGCGGGGCGGCCTGGTCGACACCGAGGCCGAGCACTCGCTCCTTGCCTACTTCCTCGACTCCATGCTCGACGCCCTCTGCCGCCTGAGCCCGGAGCGCGAGTGGGCCGCGGGCTACGAGGACGTGCTGGGCCGCCTGTCGCGCGCCGGCGCCGGCGGTAGAGGCGGAGGCGGAGGCGACACGGTCCACCGGGTCTGCAAGCGCCTCTACGCCATGCTCATGGGCTTCGGCATCCTCCCCACCCTCCCCGGCGCCCTGCCGACCTTGCCGGCCCTGTCCGAGTGGCAGGTCAAGCACCTGGCGTGCGGCCACGGCCTCGGCGGCGGCGGCGGCCCCGGCTCCGCCTCGTCCTGCTGCGGCAGCGACGCGTCCATGGGCAGCAGCCGCGTCGAGAGCGACTACGGCTCCGGTTGCGATTCCGGCCCTGGGTCCTCCTCCTCCTCCGCAGCGGCGGCGGCGGCCGCCGCCGTACCTTGGGAAAAGCAACAGCAGCAGCAGCAACAACAGCAGCAGCAACAACAGCAGCAGCAACAACAGCAGCAGCAACAACAACAACAACAACAACAACAACAACAACAACAACAACAACACAACCCGAGGCCAGACACCCCCGCCATCTCGTGCCTGGGCCCGCCGCCCGGGAGCAACTACTCCGACACCATGATAGGCCCTGCCGCCCCTCCCCCGCCATCGGAGCCCCAGCTCTGCCGCGGCTGCAGCGACCCCTCCCAGAACCGCGGCATGCTGCGGGATCCCACCTCCTTCTCCTCCTCCTCGGGCGGCGGCGGCGGCGGCGGCGGCTACTCTTACGCCGGCATCGACGGCTTCCCGCCGTACCACAGTCATCACCACCCCCCGCAGATGTACGATGGACTCCCACCGCCGCTGCTGCCTCTGCCTCCTCCGGCCTCCCCGCCCGCCGCCGCCGCCGCCACGGGTCCGCTGGGCTTGTACCGCGGCACCGCCTGCTCCTCCCCTGCGCCGCGCCGCCACGCCCGCCACCGCAGCCTCTTCCCGCCCGTCGACGCCGGCCCCTACGCCGTGCCGCGGGCCGCCGTCCCGCACGGTCCGACGTGGGGATAGGCCCCGGGCACACGTCTCTTTGCTGTTCGTGGAGGCTTGGGATGGCGAAGGGGGAGATGGAGATTGTTGAGCCTGGAAAAACCCCCAGCATGGGGTGGGTTTGAGGTTGTTGACTCTTGGATTTTTTTTGTTCGGCTTGGCGTCGTTTTTTTTTTTTTATTCTCTTTCTCCCTCCCCCGGCAGTCTCTGTTCATAGCCAAAGCTGGAACATGGATGTCTCCGACGCATGCGTGGTTTTCTTTGCGACTTACTCTAGATAGGTGGGAGGTGATAGGCAGGTACTCGTTGCTGTGAATTGGGTAACAATATTGGCAAAGGCCCGCGTGTTTTTTTTTTTTCGTTCTTTTTCACCCGGTTTCTTCGACTTGAGCAAGCATCTCCCACCACGTCGTGTTACATTACTTTACTTTACAAACATCATTCGTTCGGCAAAGCGTCTTGGTTAGCTTGGACATCATGCGTTGGGTTCTCCCTTTGAGCGCCTGCTATTCGAGCATTTTTAGCCATGCTCAGATCTGACAGCAAGCCCACGCAGACATGTAACGATCGTTCTGTATTTTCTAATAGAATTTCGTAAGGGGTCATAAAGCCAAAAGCCAGATGCAAATAGCGAACGTGATGTACAACAAGGGCCCATGACCCCCCCTTGCTCAGCAAACATGTGGGCGCAATCAAAGCCGGCGCCTACAGCAAGAGTCTATCATCAGAGCCCGTGCTAGAGTTCACGGGGAAGAAATGACAGAAAGCCCTGCCCAGTAGAACGTGAAGAAGGAGAAGGAGAAGAAGAAGAAGAATGGCTGTGGCGTCCTCGGCCGAAAGGTCGGGGGTTTCATGACAGCCGCAAAAAGAAAATACGATTCTCCTGGCATACATGTGCAGGACAAAAAAGCGGCTGACAGCCACTCGGGTTCCCGAATGCAGATGATCCGGGGTGCCAAGGCAGAATCTTTGTAAGAATGGATGGAAGTTTGACATGCCGCAGCTGTCTCGGGCGAAGGGAGCGCGCGTAACAGCCGGGGGGGTTTAGCTTAAGCTCCACACGCTGTTGTTTATCGTCAGCCCTGTGCGACCTTTTGCGTCTGCCCGCCGCCGCTTTTGACCGATGTCAGGGAGGGAAGGTAGGAGGTGTTGCACAAAAGGGGGGTGCTTGTACAGAGGGTGTGGGGCGGAGAGGAGAGTGATGATGAGAGATAGGCGAGGAGGCGTATATCCCGAGGAGATCTTGGATACTTACTGACGTCGCGGCCCTGGCTGTCGTTCTTGTCCTCCTCATCGGGGCACGAGTAGTTCGTGGGGCGGCCGAGGGCTCCCTCAGGCGCGGCCTGGGAGAAGGTGGAGGCGGGGTACTGGCGGACGGCAGGCATTTCTGGTTGCGAGAGGAGGGGTGTTAGGATGTGATATTGATTACTCTTGCTGCTGCCGAGACTTGGAGGTAAGCAGAGAACGATAGGGTTCCAACTCACTGGATATGGCTGCTTCAAGGGGTCGAATGGTCAAGTTGGGCTTTGCGGTCGAGAGGTAGCTTGAAGGACCGCTGTTAGACAACGCTCTTGATAACACTTCAATGGTCTCTTGCAAAACCGAGAAGGACATACCGATATGTGAAGTATTGCTTTCAGTTTGCGGTAGAGTATTCGGCAGGAGGAGATGGACGCTCTGGAGGGTGATGATTCTCTAACCGCCGAGACTGCCAGGACTTGGCTGGCGGTCACCTCTTCTTATAGACAGCATCCCTCGAGGGAGATCGGGCGCAGAGATGCTGGTAGGACGGCCCTGTCGAGTGATCCCGAGGAGGGCTTACGCCCAGCGCTTGCAGAATAGCATCGTCGTCGTCATCGCCTGGGGGGAGGGCGCCCTCGGCTAGAGTTTCCAAGGTCGAGGAGGGAGGGGTGGGGTGGGCGGAAGCGAGAAGAAGATGATAAGAAAAAAGAAGAAGAAAAGAGGAGGAAGGCGAGAACAGTGACATGGCCGCAATCTAGGTTGGCGAGAGGCAGCTCGCATCTCGCCTTTGCCCGCTCAGACCGCCCGGCCGCCCGGCCGAGTCACACGCCACAGAGCGACCGAGGGTAGGTAGTTAGGTACAAAGCAAAAGGGGAAGAAAAAAAAAAACAAAGATCGCCGTACCCCGTCGTACCTCGTCCCGAAGGAAGGGGAAAGATGGGCACGCGGAAGCCGACGCCCCCTCCCTTATGCCGTGTAAAGACGTGTGTGTGCTCTTTGACACTTGCGCACTCGACGGCCAACCACGACCTCCCGAGACCCGGCAGATCCAACGCTGTTCGCGTGGCTGGTGGTATGTCGGGCCCGATTGCGCAGTTGACATTGCACCACGGGGAGCACAGGACAGGAGGGTAGGGGTGAGGGAACGAACCGACCCAGGGGAGGCGAATCTGATTGGCTGCCCATCACCGTCCTCGCAACTCGAATCCAGTTCGAGGCTAAATTTCGCCCGCCCCTCCCCTTTTTTTTTTTTTTTTGGCGTCCGACAACAACAACAAGTGGTGACCGCTCCGGCGGCGCCAGGTCACGAGCTAAGCCGTACGGCCGGAGGGACAGAATTGGTGTGCGACGCGGGCAGATTCCGCGTCAGAAGGCATGGCCACGGCGCGTCTTTCCTGTGGGCTAATGCCGGGATGATGCTCGGCGCCGGAGATCAGCAAGGGAGTGGGAGCACGACGGCGTGAGGGCCGAGGCAGAGGGAAAAGGAAATAGGGCCGGGGCGGGAAATTAGGTCCAGAAAGGGACAGGCACCGAGGGCGAGGTCCCTCAGGGGGGCAAGGGAAGCGAGGGAGTCACGACCGGCCCTCAAGGCAAGGCACAAGACAGCGCCAACGCCGGGTGAGCTGGGCGAGGGCCGCTGCGGCGCGCTGCCTTGTCTCCCCTCACCTTCTAGCATGCCCGACTGGCGAGAAAGGTGCTTCTATCGGTGCGCCCGAAGCAACCTGGCGATAATGTAAGCTGCTGGCGTACTGTCTCAGATTTGGCAGAGCCATTGGTCATGACTGCCAGCTGCTGCGGGTCCCATGTGAGATAAACCAAAGCAGCAATGGCGCAACTCGTCTTTCCTGCCTCGCCCAATGGCCAGGCGGCTTTCCATCGCACAAGGAGTTCGATATCTGCCGCAGCAGGCGAGTCGACTGCCGGTCGGAATGTGCGGTTCACCAACGGAGGAGAAGAGAGAGGGAGGGAGGAGAGGGGTCAGGGGAGCAAATCATCATGATGCAAAGCCGCCGAGAGAGAGAGAGACGGCGCCCATCCTCCCCCCGGCACTGACGAGGTCCCGACGCAAGGCGAGACTGACAAGGCGTCTGAGACATGGGCATCAAGAATACATTGCTCGCGAAACCCAGCGCAGCGGCCCGTCTGACACTTGTGACGTCGGCTGGCAGCCTGAGGGGCACCTAGGGAGGGGGGGTGTGGAAGGGGTTTTTTTTTCCTTCCCTTCTATCAAAGGCTAGGTGCATGAGGGACAAGGCGTGGAGAGCATCATGTGACGGGTCAGAAGGACTAAAACAAAAAAAAAAAAAAAAAAGGATCAAAGTCAATGTTACGCGCCCGCGGTATATCTCGGGCATGGCCTGGTTCCGAGGGGCGGCCGGGCAATGACACACGCGGAAGACGGCGCCCGCCAAGCGAAGGATCAAAGACATGACCGCGCACGTGGTCGCCTCGGACCTCGACGACACACAGCGATGGCGGGGCTGGCAGGCAAGCAAAGAAGACAGACACAGACAGACGGGGCACCGCCGCCCGGTTTGGGGTTGATTAGGGGCCAGCAGGGGAAGAGGATGTGCCCTTTCCCTCTTCTCGCTGCCGTGTCGGTGAACAGCGAGCGCCAAAGTCGTACCGTGGCCAGCCAGAGGCGGGCATCTCCGGAGTACCCATCTCTGGGTCTTGTGTGCACATGCACAGAGGCGGCGCTCGGGGGGAACCTCCAGCTTCCAAGGAGGCACAGGCCGTTGAAGACATGGATGTGGGGGGACGAGGGGAGAGAGAGACGCATGTAGGAAAGCCACAACGTCGTGGTAAGAGACCAAGTACCGGACCAAAAAGCCCTGGCTGCCAATCGTCTGCACCGAGTGAAGGGGAATTTCCAGAATGGTTTCGTCTGGCACGCAATATGACCGGCCATCCCAAGGTAGCTTGATTTTGTCAATCTGCTGGACGGCCGGTTGATTTTATGGTGCGGAAAAGTGTAAGGAGGAGAGGAAGAAAGGAAGAAATCGCCCAGCTCGTCCCTTGCAGAGACTTTTGAGGGGGCACCCCCAAAGAGTTGGATGCCCCACAGTTCCACTTGTGCACGTGACGCAGCAACCGACCTCTAGTCTTTTCCTGGATCTCGTTTGCGGGTCAAAAAGGCAGAAAGAAAATTTTCTCCCACTGTTCTTTCTATCCTCGTCCTTCGTTCCTCACCCAGCACAACCTTCTCTCAACCAAACCGTCCCTTATCTTTCTTTGTTTCCTTCCATGCTACAACCTGCCCTGCATCATGCGGGGGGAGACGCCAGCAGCGTCAGGAGCAAATGCGATGACCTGAGGGAGAGAAAGCTCAGGCACGACACGACACGACTGACCGACTGTCTTGTCGGTCTGTCTGTCCCCTGGCCAAGGTAGGACGGCGGCTGCTGAGAAGAGAGACAGCAGCAACGCGCTGGGACAATTGGGCCCGGTACGGCGAAACCGTTCGATTTCTCTCCCCCTGGATGCCGTGCTCTCTCCCAGTCGACCAACAGGGCCGCCTCCTTCGGCTTTCCCTCTACTCGGATTCGCAGCTCCTGGCGCTCGCTCTCCACGGCGGCCCGCGCGCACTGCATCCTCGTCGCGTTTTTTTTTCTTTGTTTGTGTCTCTGTGCGCGCTCAATGTCGTGGCATCGGCTGCCAGGGCAGTTGATCTCTCTCTCCCTCTCTCTTTGCTTTTTTTTTTTCCTTTTCCTACCCTCGCCCCATCCCCTCGCTTATTGCTTGTCTTGCCTGCTCACTTCTGATCTTGGTCTTCGGACATGTGCATGATCGAACCCACAAATTTGCCTACCTCTGTGCCATCATCCATGCGCAAGAAGGTCAACTTATTATATCGTTCGTGTGGAAGAAAAACACAAGGGCCTAGACAGCCCGTCCTATCCACCCTGCTGGCGTAGAACAAGTGCGACAGCAGGACTAAAACGGACAAACATCTCGTGCCATTATGCGTCAATGCCATTATATCGTCTGTATATACAAAAAATACATGGGATGTGTCATCATCACATCTTTATCGCTTGCAAAGTGAACAATATGCAAATCCGCCGCCCCGTTAAATGCCTGAACCCGCAAATGCATACCGTCCATCCACCTGGAAGGGTCTTCTTCCCTCTCAGGGATCGAGCAGGTGCTGGATGTTATTGAAGGAGAGAATAAACTTGGCCATGAGGCGCCCCGAGTAGATGTTGGACACGTCCATGGGGTAGGGGTGGCTGGCGCCGTCATTGTCGAGCTCGGAGCCCTGCGCGGTCAAAAAGTCCAGCTCGCTCGCTGTGGGGAGAACAAGCGCCGTACACGTTAGCAAAAGGGATTGAGTCGAACAGAGAGAGAGAGAGAGAGAGAGAGAGAGAGAGAGAGAGAGAGAGAGAGAGAGAGAGAGAGAGAGAGAGAGAGAGAGAGAGAGAGAGAGAGAG